AGATTAGCAGTACCTTATGTGTTTCAATAGGGTAGCGCATTACACATGATTGATGGGATTTTCTGACATAGATGCAGTCCGCGTTTCATAGAAGCAGGCCTGTTGAGCGACAGTTTCTGTTCGTAATAGTTTGCCTCCTATCGTTCATGATTCATGCACCTGCCGAAGCAACCGAATACGATGTGCGGATCTGTTTGAACTGCTTGACGTCCGATGCAGTATGGATTCTGTTTTGTGCGGTGGTGATGTTCCGTCATAGCTTTGTCTTTTTGGAAAAGTTGAGACGAGAGGGCCCCATATTGTGTCCGTTCATTTTATCGTATTTGCTGTAGCGAAGTTGGAAATTGAAGCCTCTCCCCGCATTACAGTGCGCAGTTGGAGGGCTTTAGCGAGTTTCAGCTGAATCGAGTCCTGAAATCCTGTAAAGCACTTCTCAAGGTCAAGGGCACCCCTCTTTGTTTTATACTTTACAGCAGACGCGCTGATAAGAAATTGTCATGGCCGCTCTTGGCTACCAAGAATGGTAGGGTTGCTTTTTGGAAAGGGTGTTAAATGGTTCTAGTCAACGAGACAGGTGTTGTTTCAGCAAACGTAAGTTTAACTACATGATAAGCTGTTTAAATAAAAGGCTAGGTGAGAAGTAACAGTAAGTCTGTGAAGACGGACGAGCACCTGCTGCGTGGAATCACGACGATAAAGTACCTTAGTTCCATCAGATAGACAGGGAAATCGACAGCGAAAGAGGAAGTCAGTCGTGAAGTGGATTAGTTCAAATGGAGCAAGGTTAGTGTCAAGAAAATGGCTTTCAGCTAAAGCAACAGGTTCGGTGCTCTTATGCGAAGTTCAATATGTGACCACGCTGAACAGACTCGCGCGGTAGCTGAGTACAGTAAACATGGGGATACTCAGATCGGTGTTCGATGTCAACAAGGGAAACCGCATTCGAAGCATGTTTATGAGCGGCAACTAGGGCTGACCCCAATAACAGATGTGCTCCGTTTTATTCGGCCATGTGAAGCGAAGAATTGGAAATTACATAGTTCGGAAACGGATAGTAGAACAGAAAAATAACGCCATATAAAAGGCGACATAAGCTGCGTCATTCATGACCTGAGACTTCATAAGTAGGAGTTGGAAAATGTGGTGAAAATTGACTGGCGTAGTAAACATGTTCAAGAAAATACGCTGCGGTAAGGTGATACACGCGTATTGTCTTTTAATGATTATATATTCGCGCAATGTTTTGTTGCGTTAACTAAAAATTAACAGCGAGTGTTTTGAACTACAGAATTTGGCGTTAAAACCGGCAGCAGGAGAGACGGACAGAATGAGTAAATAAATATGTAACTAATTCCTGCTAAACCTTATTCATAGGTGTGTGTGTTTGTGCTTGGAAAAGCTAAGTTTTACTAGATAGATTGAAGCAGTGAGGTGCTTATTTTCGGCAGATTAGAGTTTGATACGCTCTAAGCACTTT